AGATGCCCCTCCCATCACCATCTTTTAAAAAGTTCATCTTTACTCCCAACGATTGGAGATCCAACCTTTGTCACATGGAACTCTGGACTTTCTACCCCATCCCACTAGCCCACTACCCACTCATGTGCCAATACCACAGGATCTTACAGAAGATGTTTAATGTCTGGTAGAGCTTTCTCTGCATAGTTTTTCTCTTCCAGTGTTTTCCTGGCTCTTCTTACATGTTTATTTTTGCACACGAACGTTCATATCAACTTGTCCTAACTTTATTAAATAGTTGTATTCTCATTGGAATTACAGTGGGAAGAACTGACATCTTTGTAAATGTGAGTTACAGAATTTAAGAACAATAGATGCACTGGGGCGTCCCACTCTTGGTTTTGGCTCAGGTCATGATCTCACGGTTCGTAAGTTTGAGCTCTGTGTCAGGGGGCTCTGCACTGACAGCACAGAGCCTGCTTGCGATCTCTCTCTCTCCCTCTCTCTCTGTCCCTTCCCTCCACTTGAGCTCTCTCTTAAAAAATAAACATAAAAAATTAAAAACAAAACAAAACAAAACAGAATGCCTTTCCATGTTTTCAAATCTATTTCTGTGGTTTTTTTGAGTGTTTAAAAAGTTTTCCTCTTCTAGGTTTCACACATTTCTTGTTAAATTTATTCCCAAATATTTAACTTTCTGTTATTACCACAGTGAGATTTTCCTTAATATTATATCCTGTTTATTATTTGTACATATGAAGACTATTAGTTTTGTACATTAATTTTAAAGCAGTATGATTACTGCTTTACTGAAGTGCTTTATTGTTTGAGTTAGTTTTTTTTTTTTTAGAAAGTGAGAGATTCTTTTCTTTTAAAAAAAAATTTTTTTTTTTAATGTTTATTTCTTTCTGAGACAGAGCATGAGCAGGGAAGGCGCAGAGAGAGAAAGGAAGACACAGATTCCGAAGCAGGCTCCAGGCTCTGAGCTTCCAGCACAGAGCCCGATGCAGGGCTCAAACTCACGAACCATGAGATTGTGACCTGAGCCGAAGTCAGACGCTTAACCGACTGAGCCACTCAGGTGCCCCTGTTTGAGTTAGTTTTATCACTGATTGTCTGCGGAGTTTTCCAAATACACTATCATTCATCTTTAAACTCAGAGTTTTACTTCTGCTCACCCATTCTTATTCCTCCAACTGATTTCTCTAAGTGCGAAGGCTAAGACCTTTAATACAATGTTAAACGGAAGTAGAAATAGTGGGCACCCTTTCCTCGTTCATGATCTTAGTGGAACGGACCCTGGTGTTTCTCCATGAAACAAAGATACTGGCTTTGCTACAGCATATACATTTCTGAGAATATTCATAATAAAAGAAAAAGTGAATACTTTCTTAACCTAACAAAATGCAAACATCATGCCAAAATCCAACACCATGCTTAATGATGAAAATGTGGACATATTCCCCTTAAAGACTGCAAGAAGACAAGGATCCCCAGTATTTAACATTTTCCTAAAATGAGCTATTATTAACAGATTTCGTCTATTGAAGGAAACAGGAGATATTAATATTAGAAAGGAAGAAGTAAGCATCATCATTTGCCAATGATGTCATCAGCTGCCTGGAACACCCAGGGTAACAAAATAAAACCCTCTGCTAAACAACGCGTGAACCCAATAAGCTGCTTAGCACTATGTTAACAGTACTCGAAATGTACATTTGATCTTTATTAGGCCTGGCCTCACAACACGGTACAACCCGGGTGAGATTTCCTCTACTACAGAAAATATACCAGGTCCAAAAACGTGTGTTCCTGCATAGGTTAAAAACCAACCAGGTTTAAAAAATTGAGAATGATTCATACAAACTAAAGACAAAGAAGATAATTGATTAACCATAATAATTTGCTAATTTATAGAGGGGGAAAATGCCAGAAACATACATACTTTAATGTTAACTTCTGGTGTGCATTACTGTGTACCAACTGAAGTGACTGTAACAGTAAAACATATGCTCCCTGTATTATAACTGTCCTCCATTAATAAGAATAGTCTAGTAGATAAGTACACAGCATTGCATGTTCTGGCCCCTAGAAATTCTTCTCAGAGAATTTAGGGCAGTAAGTCTGTTCTCAATTATTTGTAGTAAGAAAAGTGACTTGTTTCTTACTAACTATTCAAATAATACTGCTCATGGGGCACCTGGGTGGCTCAGTTGGTTAAGCATCTGACTCCTGATCTCAGCTTAGGTCTTGATCTCAGGGATTTGAGTTCAAGCCCCGTAATGGGCTCTATGCTTGACATGAAGCCTACCTAGAAAACAAAACAAACAAACAAACAAAAAATCCAAATAATACTGTTCCTACTTTATTTGTATCAAGACTTTGTGAGTTTTTGTTTACTGTTCCTTCCATCACAACATACTTCAATTTAGCACATCATTTCTCTCTGAAAACAGAAACTATAAATTAACAAATATATAATAAATATTATATACACAGTATCAGGGCCTCAGCTCAGTGAGGTATATAAATAGTAATGCATCTGCCTTAAGCCTGGAATTCCCAATGTTACAATTAATCCTACAGTTCTGGTACGTGCTATGTCCTCCACACCAAATTCTGCTGCATAAACAACATAGTGGTCGCTGATGAGTATTAATCAGTGTTGTTAACAGAGTGATAACATTTGAAGAAAAAGATGGCAAGAGTAATTTGGAAGGAGCAGGACTGAGGATTTCTCATTGCTGGTAATTCTTGTTATGGTGATTTTACAGGTATGTTCACTTTGTGATAATTCATACTTAAGATTTCTGTGCATTTTTATGTATATACATTATGCTTGAATCAAATATACTTTTTAAAAAATAAGCAGAAAACTGAGGGAAACAAAAAAAAATAAACCACACAAAAAGACCTCAACATCCCCAATAAAGTACAATTTCTCTGGAAGCATGCTATATTGCTTAGGGTCTCTGTTGAAAATGGTAACAAAAAAACTTATCTTTAAACTCTAGAATCATTCAGCTCGATGAGATGCTCATGCTCCTTGTTAACTGTGGAAGAGCAAATTCCTATCTTCTATTTTAACTTTTTCTGTGTGTGCGCATGTGTTTCAAAGCAGAAAGGGAGGCTTATGTGTTCTATACAAAGAGTAATGTGTATTTGAATATCGCTGCCTTCTCATTCTCCTTTCCTTGCCTTCTCTTATTCTTAGACCTCTATGCTGAATTTCCTGAAGTCTCATACGGATATGATACACATTAAGTTGTATAAACCATGGTAGAAAAACAATAATTCTGTCTCACAAAACTGCAACACCCCCACGGAGACGCCTGGGGGATCCTCTGATCAACTCAAACTCCTCCAGCTCACTTGTATTCCTTCCTCAACACCAAGACTCACTCTTTCCCCAGGCCAAAGCCCCAGAAACACTGGGACTCTGTTCCCTTTCATATCTAGCCCCACCCACAGACACCACGCTCCACCTCCAGAAGCCTTTCTCTCTCCTCTTCTGGGCTCCGCCCCCCACTGCTGTAATCATATCCAGCGCTCCTAAACCCCAGCACAAATGATCCAATGATCATGATGCGCCAAGGCCTACCTTCTAGTCTTCTCTCTTCCCCAGGTTCCAGGAAACCTTTCATCCCGTCATGTCCTCTCCCTGAGGGACAGCTCTGAGGCACCTTGCTAGGAAACACTCACTGGCCTTCCCTGCATTCTGAATGAAGCCCAAGCCTGGCTTTCTGTACAGAATTCCTATAAACAACAATGAAATTAGCCCCCTTTTCTGGCCAATATGAAACTTATTTTAACCACTAAATGAGGAAATCTACTGTATATTATGAAAAGACAAACATGAAAACCAAACGAAAAAAAAATCTAACAGCCTGATTTCCGAACAAAGAAAAAAACATGACTATTATTCGAGATGGAAGAGCCAAAGAAAAGTCAAAAGCAAATAAATGAATAAATCCATCCACAGCTGAAAATGTTTGATTACAGGCGAATAGAAAGTGGCCTCCTAGAATGCAAATCTAAATCTAGTTCCTCAGCTCCAAAGACTGAAAAGGACTACAGGAAACAAACACTATTGCTGTATGTGAGCAATGTCCAAGACCATGCAAGCCTGATTCTTACCTCCTTAGGACAGCACGTGAAGGTCATTCTCCATGTGGAAGAAAACCGCGAGGACAGATACTATAGCATGGCTATGTCCGCTGATCACTCTCAGAGTTTTTTTTTTAGGGCAGGGACCTTACAGTTCCCCCAAAATAACAATATAAAGACTGATTTTTGCTGATCAAGTAGTATTTTATCTCGTGACAAGACAAAGTTTGAAAACATCCTCTCAGTGGGGTGCCTGGGTGGCTTAGTCGGTTAAGCATCCGACTTTCGCTTAGGTCATGATCTCGCGGTTCGTGGGTTTGAGCCCCGCGTCGGGCTCTCTGCTGACTGCCAGCTCAGAGCCAGGAGCCTGTTTCTGAGTCTGTGTCTCCCTCTCTCTCTGACCCTCCCCTGCTCACACTGTCTCTCTCTCTCTCCCCTAGAAATAAATAAAAAGAAAAAAAAGAAAACATCCTCTCAGAACAAGAATAAATACCCTCCACCATCACTATTTCAGCGTTGATGGCCACTTTACAGAACATAATTATCGTGAATTCTAAGAATCAACTGTATCTCTAGGGAGCATATTTTACTTGCAACACAAACAGGCTTAACTTTAGACAAGCATAAAACAATACAAGGACACTTTAAACATTAAGTACATTAAATGTAGTAAAGTCTAGAGCAGGGATGGCAAATAGATTTCGGTTTGCACATCAGCTCACAAGGAGGACGGGTTCTGAAGAAGGTGCCCTCTGAAGCCGGGAAACCGGGAGAGGGCGCTGTGCTCAGTTAGGAATGCAGGTCGGAGAGGAGAGAAAGGAGAAGTCGTTAAGACTTGCATCACGGATTTGCCATCCCTGGGCTGCTGTACTTCAAAAAAATCTCCAAGAATACATAATCACAAAATTACTTACTGCTTCAACAGAGTTACACTCCCGCCTTGTTTCTAAATAACGTAGTGCCCGTTTTTCTTCTTCTTTTAATTTCGCATCTGCCTGCCCAGAAGCAAAATTGCAATCATTTTTAAGAATATCAAGAGAACGGTTGAAATTATCACATATACTAAGTTCTGACTTACATATTTCATATAATTCTGTACACCATTTTGCTGTAAATACGAGGGTGCCTGTGTTCTATAAAATCTCTCTGTTGAATCCAAGTATGCCTTCTCAAAATTATCCCTATAAATTTGAAGCTTATCCTCGGGGTTAGAACAAAGGTTAACTGAAAAACAGAAAATAAAATTTTACTCTAATTATGTTTCAAATCAGTATTTTGAGTACAATAAATGAAATAACAAATAGTGAGGGGTCATTATGTGCAAGGGACTGTGACAATGCTCAAGAGAACATAAATATAATACAAAATCCTTCTCCCTAAGAGACTTAAAACGGTAACGGCATAAAGCACTCAAGTGACAAACAGTACAGATAACACAGGCTATTGTATTTCTGCACAAGAAAGGGGATGACTTCTAACTAGATGGTCAAGAAACCATTCACAGATGAGATGAGATCTGAGCTGTGTCTTAAGGGAAAACTAGAATTTACACAGAAGCTAGTAAAATAAGCAAATAATCTGAAGTACAAAAATCACAAGGCCAAGTCAAGGTATAATGACCAGGTTGTCTGAATAGACCATAAGGTTCACAGAATACAAGGTATAATGGGAAGTCAGGAGTGGCTGTGGAGGGGTGCATGGGTGGCTCAGTTGGTTGAGCATCCGACTCTAGATTTCAGTTAAGGTCATGAACTCTGGGTTCGTGAGTTTGAGCCCCACGTTGGGCTCTGCACTGACAGTGTGAAGACTCCTTGGAATTCTCTCTCTCCCTTTCTCTCTCTGACCCTCCACTACTTGTACTCTCTCTCGCTCTCTCTCTCTCTCTCTCAAAAAAAAAAAAAAAAAAAAGGGAGTGGTTGTGGAAAACCTCAAATCTCACGTTAAGTGACCTGAATTCAGCACAGTGTAACCACTAAGTGGGTAAGAAAAATACCAATAAATTGCTACATAAAAATTAATCTTCTTTAACAGTACATGCATTAAGTGATAGCAAAAAATCAGTATAAGACAACTGTTTCAAAAGTCCAGAAGCAGAGTTTACACAGTATAAACTGGTGGTAGCTGAAATAAGAGGAATAAATTTTAAGGACATGGCTAATGACACCTCGATATGGGGACAATGGAGAAAGCCAATCAAAGATAACTACAGGTTCATGAATACAAAGCATTCTTAGTGAGGAGTACTTTGTGCCCACATCCCACATTTAGTAAAGACAGTGTCAATAACACAGTTAACTGAACTGAAGTATGACAACAGGGAGGCACGGGTCCTGTGAAGGAATGTGAGAGGGACCTACGCTGGCCTGGGAATTAGGGAGGAGGGGGAATATTCTCAGAGAAAACACTGTATCTGACTTAAAAAATAAACAAGAACAGCAGTGTCAGAAACTGGTAAGTTCAGAGAGGAATGTGTACATGAAATAAATATACTGCCTGAAAATCTAAGTAGAAAACCATTTACCACCTTTATGAGCTCAAAAATCATATCTACATTTCTCTAATTTAGGTCACTAAAAGGATTTGCCTTCCACGAAATGAGTGACATGGAGAAAACAAATGTTAACCACACAAATAGGGACTTTTCTATGTTCCTTGAAGAGATTTCATGCCCTCTGCATACTCTTAACGGCATCTGGCACTAATTGCTGACGTGACTGACTATATGCTAGTACACATAGCTCTGGCAGTACTCTTCTGTATCTGTCTCAGAATTTCCATAAAAAAATTATGATCATAAAAGTTCAGAGCATACCATAGGATTCTCTTACTCCAATGACCAGCTGAGAATCAAAGGCTTCTCCTAATCGTTCAGCATGTACCAGCTTCATTGCACTATCCTGGAGTCTGTTTTTTATATTTGAAAAGATTGACTCATTCCATGTATCAAGCATGAGCTAAGATAAAAAGAAGACAATATGAAATCATTTCAATTATTATTACTAGGTACCATGTAGATACACAAAAAATTCAAGCTATAAGCACTAAAATACTTGAATATTTTAAATTTTAAAATACTTGACTACTTCAGGGAACTAAAGCACATGGTAAATGTTAAACAACACATTTCAAAATCTAACAAAACTGGATTTGAATTCCAGCTCTATTACTTATGCACTGAGTAAAAATAAGAATACAAATCTCAAGTGGTTGTTGTAAAAATTAAATACAGTAATACCTGGAAAAGGTTACCTCCCCTATAGTTACAAGGTTACATTTCAGAAATACTGGTAAGTGTCTGGAATGCGAATACGCAGGTCTGTATAAACACACAATGAATGCAAAAAGCACCAAGTAAAAACCTGCTTGATACTAGATCTTAAAAAAACACACAAATCCACCTGAAAGACGTTCCATTTAAATGATGGAAATGTTATACACATATCCATATGTAGTATCATTCCAAGCAACTCGGTCAGACACAGAAAATATATTAATAACAACAGTAGCAACAATAACGACAAGAATGACAGGCATGTAACACTCACCATGTACCTAGCACCTGCTGTAAGTACTTTCCACAGGTAACTCATTTAATCCTCAAAACCGATATAGAGGTGCTATTATCTCCTTTTTAGAAATGCAGCCTCAGGGGCACTGAGAGGAAAGTTAACCCCCACATTTATACAGCTCATTAATGGCCACACTGGGATTTGAATCCAACAACCACGGTCTCAGAATCTACGCTCTTAATCATTAAGTGATGCTGATTCCTGTAATCAGCAGGGAATGGCAAAAATTAAAAGATTAACGGAAAAACAAGAGAGGACAAGATTATGGAGCTGAAAATTAAAAAGCATCTAGAAGTATGTTTCTTTCTCTTTTTTGGGGGGAGGGGGATAATCTCTCACATTGCAGTTATTTCTACCACCAGAGAACCACTGGGTGTCTAAATATACAGCATCCCTGTGGACAGCAGCACAAATTTTAGAACGTGGAAGGGGCAGGAATGCCGAGGCAGCTATCCAAATGCCTGAGTTTGCATTCAGCAAGTAGCAAGTTGTTTAAAGTCCAGGAGGCTTTTTGTATTTCTCTTTTACTTTTCAAATCTATTTGTTTCTCAGAAGCAAGAATACATATAAGAACTGAGGACAGAGAGCTTAGATCATTATTAACTGAAGAGTTGAAAAGGAAACCTGGGAGTCCACTTTCAGAGCTGAGTTCCTTCGATTAAATCACGAGGGTTCTGGACACAGAGCTTTTAACTAGAAACTATGCAAAACATGAAAATAAACAGTATAATGAGTTCACAATAATTAGAATCAAGTAAAAAGAAAAACACAAAGATAACAGCAGCTTAGTCACAATGAAACACAAAGATACGAGAAGGTAACCTAATGAGAGATTTTTGAAAGAGGAAAAATGTGAAGTAATTTACATGAAGGTAAAAGTACAAAAAAAACAAGAAGGAAATAGAATACTGAAGATAAAACTAGGAAAAGTCAGTGATGTCTGAAGACACAGATTCAAAGCTTAACACCACGTGGGAGAATGAAACAGAAGGGCAGCTCAGCGAGGCTGGAAGAAAGACTCTATCATTCAGTAAAACTCAGCAAGAACTTAAAAGGAACTTCTACATGAAGCAGGAAAACCACTTAAAGTCTAAACTACTTTCTAAAGTTTTAAAATCACCCTTTTTCTGAAGACTAGTAAGGGAAAAAATGAAAACATAAACTTACTTTGCGAACAATACTGTCTTCTACAGTTGACTTTTTATTGCTGCCCTGTTTACCCATTAAAGTAATCTCCAGTTGACAAAAAGGTTTCGGTAAAATATCACACTGTGTAAAGAATTTTCGCCATTCAACAATGTACGCCTTTAGCAAAGCTGTATCATCTTGATGGCTCAGTACTCGCTGGGGGGAAAAAATAATCATATAAATTTGAAATAAATATAGGTAGGTGCATGAAAGAAGAACAGAACATAGCCATGCTGTAAATATGAAGTATTTTATTTATTGTACAAACTATATTATACCCAAGAGAAATGAAAACACGTATATATCCAAGAAAAATAAAAACACGTTTACAAAGACTGGCAATCATTTTTTTTTTTTTTTTAATTTCTAGGAGAGAGAGAGAGACAGCGTGAGCAGGGGAGGGTCAGAGAGAGAGGGAGACACAGACTCCAAAACAGGCTCCAGGCTCTGAGCTGGCAGTCAGCACAGAGCCCGACGCGGGGCTCGAACCCACGAACCGCGAGATCATGACCTAAGCGAAAGTCGGACGCTTAACCAACTAAGCCACCCAGGCGCCCCTGGCAATCATTTTGATACATACACAAAATCATGATGTACACATGAAACTAACAAAATGTTATATGTCAACTATATTTCATTACAAACCCAAACCCCCTATCCTTAAGTGAATCACCTTTTTATCCTCCCCACCACCATTCCTATCCATCCCTTCCCCGGCCCTGAGCAATCACTCATTTGCTTTCAGTGTCTATATATTTGCCTGCTCCGGACTTTCACAGGAATGGAAACATATAATATGCAGACATTTATGACTGACTTCTTTCATATAACAGTTTTGAAGCTCATCCAAGTCCTAGGACGTATTATTACTTTATTCCTTTTACGGCTGAATTCTATCCCATTTTATAGATGCACTACATTTTCTTGGCCCATTGATGAACATCTGGGTTGTTTCTGTCTATTGGCTATTATGAATAATGCTGCTATAAATATCTATGTCCCCAAAAAAGTTCATAGAAAACTTGTGCACACTCACCAAGAAAAAAAGAGAGGACTCAAATAAATATCAGAAATGAAAGAGGAGACATTACAACTGATAACACAGAAAAACAAAGGAGTGGAGCTCCTGCCTGGCTCAGTCAGTACAGCATGTGACTCTTGATCTCAGGATTTTGAGTTTAAGCCCCGCACTGGGTGTGGAGTCTACTTATAAGAGACACCAGGAACAATTATACACCAACATATTTGACAACAAAGAAGAAATGGACAAATTCCATAAAACATATATCTATGAAAATTAAAGAAACAGAAAATCTGAAGAGACCAGTAACTAGCAAGGAGACTGAATTGGTAATGAAAAGCCTCCCGACAAACTAAAGTCTGGGACTAAATGGCAATACTGGCGAATTCTACCAAACATTTATTTTTTAGTTTTACTTTTTATTTTTACTTTTTTAATGTTTATTCATTTTTGAGAGACAGAGAAAGACAGAGCATGAGCACGGGAGGGGCAGAGAGAGGAGACACAGAACCCGAAGCAGGCTCCAGGCACTGACTGTCAGCACAGAGCCCGATATGGTGCTTGAACTCACGAACCGTGATATCATGACCTGAGCCGAAGTTGGCTGCCCAACCGACCGAGCCACCCAGACGCTCCTCTACCAAATATTTAAAGAGAATACCAATTCTTCTCAAACTCTTCAAAAAAAACAGAAAAAGAATAAACACTTCCAAACTCATTTAATGAAGTCAATACTACACTGATACCAAAAACTGATAAGATGGCACTAAAGAAGAAAATTACAGGCCAATATCCCATAAGAACATGGATGTGAAGCTATGCAACAAAATATTAGAAAACCAAATTCAACAATACATTAAAAGGACCATAAACCATGATCAACTGGAATTTATTCCACAGATGCAAGGTTGGTTGCTTCAACACTCACAAGTCAATCAATGTGAAACACCACGTTAACAAAACGAAGTATAAAAATCATATAATTGGAATGCCTGGGTGGCTAGGTTGGTTAAGTGTCCAACTTTTGATTTTGGCCCAGGTCATGATCTCACAGTTGAATCAGTGAGATCGAGCCCTGCATTGGGCTCTACACTCCAGGCTCTCCCTCTCTCTCTCTGCCCTTCCCCACACACATGCACATGCGTGCATTCTCGCCCTTTCTTTCTCTCTCAAAATAAAAAAACATTACAAAAAAAATTTTTTTAACGTTTATTTGAGAGAGCGAGGTGGAGGGAGGGGGGGAGGAGCAGAGAGAAAGGGAGACAGAGAGTCCAAAACAGGCTCCAGAGTCTGGGCTGTCAGCACAGAGCTTCACACGGGGCTCGAGACAAGAACCATGAGATCATGACCTGAGCTGAAGTCAGATACTTAACTGACTGAGCCATCCAGGCGCCCCAATAAATAAACATTTTTAAAAAGTCATATGATCATCTCAAATAGATGCAGAAAAAGCTTTTGACAAAATCCAATATCCATTTATGATAAAAACTTTCAGGGGCACCCGGGTGGCTCAGTCGGTTTAGCGTCCGACTTCGGCTCAGGTCATGATCTCACGGTTTGTGGGTTCGAGCCCCACATCGGGCTCTGTGCTGACTGCCAGCTCAGAGCCTGGAGCTGTTTCAGATTCTGTATCTCCCTCTCTCTCTGACCCTCCCCTGCTCACTCTGTCTCTCTCTCTCTCAGAAATAAATAAAAACATTAAAAAAAAAACTTTCAACAAAGTGGGTATTGAGGGAATTTACCTCAGCATAATAAAGGCAATATATGGCAAACACATAACTAAAATCATACTCAATGGTGAAAAGCTAAGAGCTTATCCTCTAAGATCAGAAACAGGACAAGAGTGCTAACTGTCACCACTGTGATATAATGTATACTGGAAGTCTTAGCCACTATACAAGCCAGACAGACAAGAAAAATAAATAAAAGGCATCCAAGTCAAAAAGAAGTAAAACTGTCACTATTTGTAGATAACATAATATATAAAACATCATGAAGACTCCACTAAAAAACTCTCAAAACTAATAAACAAATTTAGTAGAAATGCAGGATACAAAATCAATATACAAATATCCACTGTGTTTCTATATACTTAAACACTCAGAAAGAGAAATTTTAAAAACAATATCATTTAAAATGCATCAAAAAGAATAAAATACCCAGGAATAAGTTTAACCAAGGACGTGAAAGAACCGTACACCAAAACTGTAAGACTGATGTAACAAACTGAAGACACAAATAAATGGGAAGATATCCAGTGCTCATGGAATGGAGGAATAATGGCATTAAAATGTTCACACTACCAAAGTCAATATACAGAATCAATGCAATCCCAATCAAAAGTCCAATGGTATTTTTCACAGAAAAAGAACAACAATCCTACAATTTGTGGGGAACCACAAAAGACCCAGAATAGTCAAAGCAATCTTGAGGAAAAAAAAACAAAGCATCACCTCCCTGGCTTCAAACTATATGACAAACCTCTGTAGTAATCAAAACAGTGTGGTATTAGCACAAAAACAGACATGCGTATCAACAGAAGAGAGAGTCCAGAAATAAACCCACACATAAGTGGTCAATTAATTTAGAACAAAGGAGCCACGAGTATACAATAAGGAAAGGACAGAAATATACAATGAGGAAAGGACAGGAATGTACCCATAAATGGAGCTGAGAAAACTGGACAGCCACACACAAAAGAAGGAAACTGCACCAGTCTCTTGTACCACACACAAAAACGAGCTCAAAATGGATTCAAGACTCAAACATAAGACCAGAAACCATAAAACTCCCAGAAGAAAACATGGGTGATAAGCTCCTTAACACAGCTCTGGGCGACGAATTTTTTGAACAGGACACCAAAAGCAACAAAAACAAAAATACATAAGTGGGACTATGTCAAACTAAAACACTACTGCACAACAAAGGAAACCACAAATACAAGGAAAAGACAACCTACCAATGGAAGAAAGTCATCATGTATCATGTACCTAATGAGGAGCTAGTATCCAAACTGCACAAAGAACCCCTCCAACTCAACAGCAAACAATAAATAATTCAATTGAAAAATGGGGAGATCTTCCCATTTGTCCAATGAAGACATAAAACGGCCAACAGGTCACTGAAAAGATGCTCATCATCACGAAAATGCAAATCGGAACCATAATGAGTTATCACCTCACACCTGTCAGGATGGCCAGTATCGAGAAGACAAGAAATAACAAGTGTTGGCGAGGCTGCGGTGAGAGGGGAACCCGTGTGCACTGGTGGTGGGAAGTAAGCTGTGCAGCCACTATGGAAAACACTATGGAGGGTGCTCGAAAAATTAAGAACAGAACTACCATATGATCCAGCAATTCCACTTCTGGGTATTTATCCAGAAAAAACTGGATAACAAAGAAACTGAAACAACAAACTCAAAAAGACATATGCACTCTCATGTATACTGCAGCATTATTTACAAGAGCCAAGATATGGAAACAACCAAAGTATATCAGAGATAAAGAAAATATGGCACAGGGAATCCTGGGTGGCTCAGTTGGCTAAGCATCCAATTCTTGATTTCAGTTCAGGTCATGATCTCACAGCCCATGAAATTGAGCCCCTTGCCGGGCTCCTCACTGACAGGGCACAGCCTGCTTGAGATTATTCTCTCTGCCCCTTCCCTGCCTGCGCTCTCTCAAAATAAATAAGCAAACATTTTAAAACAAGAAAAAGAAAAAGTAAATGTGGTATATATACACATTAGACTCTTTCCCAGCCATTAAAAAAAAAGTCTTGCCATTGGCAATAACATAGACCTTGAGGACAATGACAGTTAACACTCCTGCACTGAATATTAGAAAGCTGGTAAGAGTAGATCTTAAAAATTCTTATCACAAGTAAAAAAGTCTGTAACTATGTGTGATATGGATGTTAACTAACTTATTGTGACCATTTCGCAAGATATACAAACATCTAATCATTACACTGTATACCTATAACTATTATTATATGTCAACTATACCTCAATTTAAAAAACCCAACTTACACAGAAATGTTCACAGAAGCATTACTCAAAACATACAAAAAGTAGTAACAACCCAAGTGTCCACCAATGATGAACAGATCTGGAAAAAACTGGCGTACAGTCATACAACGGATTATTCAGCCATAAAAAGAAATGAAATATAATTATCACAATGTACTTTAATGTTAAAAACATTATTTTAAATCAAAGAAGCCAGTCATAAAAGGCCACATATTGCATGATTCCGTTTATAGGAAATGCACACAACAGAAGCACATAAGTAGAAAGTGGATTGGGACGCCTGGGTGGCTCAGTCAGTTAAGCATCCGATTCTTGGATTCGGCTCAGGTCAGTATCTCATGGTCATGGGAACGAGCCCCACACTGGGCTTCATGTTGCCTGCTTGGGATTCTCTCTCCCCTGTCTCTGCCCCTGCTCCACTCGTGCTCGGGTTCTCTCTCGCTCTCAAAATAAATAAGTCAACTTAAAAAATAAAAGGAAAGCAGATTAATGGTTGCTAGAGCTTGCGGGGAGTGGGTAATAGGGGGTGGGTAACTGCTCATGGTATTTTTTTTAGGGTGATGAGAATGCTCTAGAATTCGTGGATGATGGCTGCACAACTTTATGAATATGTAAAATATGCTTTAAGAGGGTGGATTTCCTGGCATGTAAATTACATCACAATTTTTAAAAAGATGCTGGGATCTATTTCTCCAGCACTGGTTTGGGTTGGTGCTGTGACTTGTTTTGACCAGGAGAATGCAGACGTGACACCGTGAGACTTCCCAGCTGCCCTGAGGAGGCCTGCAGATTTCACTCCCACCTCCGAGGCTGGGGTCCTCAAGCACAGGAGGCGGAAGCTCGCACCAAATACCAAGTGTGTGAGCAAAGCTGTCCTGGATACTCAGTCCCCACAGCGCCGGCAGCCACCTGCGGCCACAGTAACGTACTCAGGCCTGGGGCGCCTGGCTGGCTCAGGAGCGAGACCACAGAATTCTCGATCTCTGGGTCTTGTGAGCTCAAGCCCCACACTGGACATGAAGCCTACTTTAAAAAAAAGCAGGGGGGGAGGGGGAGCTAAACTTAGGTCAAATCACGTGAGCCTATCCCAATTTGCTAAATTATACAATTATGTGCCAAAATACTTAGGTTAATCTAAAAAATTAAATAAGAGAGAGAGCGCAAAGCGGAGTCGGGGGGGGGCGGCCAAAGAGAGAGGGAGACATGGAATCTGAAGCTGGCTCCAGGCTCTGAGCTGTCAGCACAGAGCCTGACATGGGGCTCAGACTCACGAACTCCAAGATCACGACCTGGGCCGAAGTTGGATGTTTAACCAACTGAACCACCCAGGCGCCCCAACTTTATGACCTTTAAATTTAAACGACCTTTATTTCATTTTAATAATATTAAACACTTCTACACATTATCAAACCAAGAGCAGCAGCAATGTAAAGGACAGTGCAAGAATTATACAGTTGAAGAAATATCTGGAATTGACAAAATTACTATTAGCTTAAGAGGAGATATAGGTTGTGAGAAAAAAAACTAATTCATGTGTACTTACACATGGCAAAAAAACAGTGAGTGTGGGGACTTCTAAAGAATGTATAAAAACTTGAATTCTTTACATCTTTTTTTGGGGAGAGAGAGAGGGGTGTGCAAGTGCAAGTGGGAGGGGGGTGGAGGGAGAGAGAGAGAGAAAGAGCGAGTCTTAAGTGGGCTACATGCTCAGTACAGAGCCCAAAATAAGGCTCAGTCTCACGGTTGTGAGATCATGACCTGATCCGAAATCAAGAGTTGGACGATTAACTGATTGAGCCTCCCAGGAGCCTCTTTACAGCATCTTTTAATTGAGGATGATATACGTTCTTAACAGAAATGTCACTGGGGGAAAGGGGCGGGGGGGACTACTAAAAAACAAATCATATCATTAAAAAATGTAATCAATGAGGGGCGCCTGGCTGGCTCACTCGAGCCCCAAGTTAGGGGTAGAGATTGGTTAAATAAATTTAAAAAACTTAATCAACAAATGTCAAAAGTCAATGTGATATTTTAAAATTACTTCTAGAAGTCCTACATTCAAAATCAGAAAATATGACATTCTCTGAGTAGTCTTAAAATAAACTTAATATAAACATGCCACACTTACTGCCTGTGCTTGCTTGATAAACTCAAGAATATCTTCTTTTAAAGCTTGATGAATTTTTGCTGGTCCTTTATCATCCCAGAGACAGACTGCATGCACATCCCTGTAAAAATAAAAGTAAACAAACATCAACACCGGAACAAGGACCAAAACAAACTCACGTCAAGTTCTGTATGAATACAGCAGCGATGGGTCATGATATGCCAAGCTGAGGGTGGCTGAATCCATCCATGGGAACCAAGAATTCTTTGTAAACTGTTCTCACACATACGTTTGTTTCTCTTTTTGTTTTACTTTCTTTGTCATGGTTTTCCTCCTTAAATCTCTGCTATTTACTGGATTTTTTTTTAAAGTAGGCTTCATGCCCAGCATGGGGCTTGAACTCTTGAACTCATGACCCTGAGATCAAGACCTGACCTGAGATCAAGAGAAGGCTGTTCAATTGACTGAGCCACACAGGCGTCCCTCACTGGATATTTTGAATTATAAAAGCATGCTCCCATTGTCCAATTCCACATCCTAAGCTTAACTACTATTAATTTCTTTCTCATGTAAAGACAAGTATAAATTCTTTTAATTCTTTACCAGAATTATGTAAACTATTTTTTTTAATTAGTCATTTAAATACTAGAAAATCTCTTAGATTCCTCCATACAGTCATTATATTTACACACAAATTACCATCGTATCTCATTTAAAAAAAAAAAAGCTCTCACAAGGTGGTATTCAAAAACTCTGAATTTATAAAGCTGACATTACAGAAACATATTTAATATTAATACAATATGTTCAACAAGTTAATTTCTTAATTGCCAAGCTGTACAGTAGGGAAACTTCTAACAAAAGGATAGAATCTTATATCAAGGATTCTTTTATCCAAGTGCCCCAGTGATTCATTTAGTACCTAAAGGAGCCCCTGTTACAAGAAATGTCAAAGAAATCAAAGTAAGACATCTCCAGAATCATAGTATTTTAAGAATGGCCAAATGGTTTGCTTTACATACACAATCTTGGGGGGGGGCGCCTGGGGCGCTCAGTCGGTTAAGCATCCGACTTCGGCTCAGGTCATCATTTCACAGTTCTTGGGTTTGAGCCCCATGTTGGGCTCTGTGCTAACAGCTCAGAACCTGGAGCCTGTTTCAGATTCTGTGTCTCCCACTCTCTGTGACCCTCCCATGCTCACGCTCTCTCTCTCTCTCAGAAATAAAGAAAACATTAAAAAAAAAAAAAAGGAATCTTAGGGACATCACTATAACAAAGTTCTGTCTGTATAAATTTGAACTTCCTTTTGTCACCTGTTAATTTTAGCTTTCAGTTTAACAGTGGTGTCTAGCTCACTGCCCAGGATGCAGCAAATATACAAATCATTGTCGGATAACAACAAAATAGGTAAATCTGATTGCTTACTATGTGCCAGTTACTTTTCTAAGCTGTTTGAACTCACTTAAACCTTCACAGCAACTCTAAAAATAATACTATTTTTATCACCATTTCACAGATGGGGATATTGACAAAGAAAGGTTAAGTAACGTTCCCAAGATGACACAGCTAGTATATACTGGAACTAGGCAGGTGGGCTCCAGAACACACACAAAACCATTCCCCAAACTCACTCTTGCACCTCTCCAAACCAACCAGTCATCTAACAGTAGCCAAAGTGATCCCTATAAAACAAATCACATCATATGAGCTCTACACTTAAAATCCTCCAATGGTTTCCTACTGCTCTTTGAATAAACTATAAAATGGTTAACTGACCCCTCATGACAATCTCACCTCATGACTAAGGGCATCCAGAGGCTAAAATCAACTGACACAAAAATAGGTTGATTCTGGGGCACCCGGATGGCTCAGTTGGTTAAGCATCCACTCTTGGTTTCGGCTCAGGTCATGATCTCACCGTTCACAGTATCAAGTTCCACATCAGGCTCTGCTCTGACAGTGCAGAGCCTTCTTGGGATTCTCTCTGCCTCCTGCCCCTCCCCAGCTCATGTGCACACACCAGCACTCTCTAAAGAAGTAAACTTTAAAAACTAGGCTGATTCTAATTTAGTATGTACACAACTACTATGCATATAAACACAAGATGGTTCAGGACCCAGGAGCGGGGGAGTGGAAGTAAGAGGCAGTGGGGTAGCAAGGAGAAGGGAAGGCTCCCAGCAAGAGCTGGTTTCCCGAGCGTAATCTCCGAGAACAAGCAGGAGTTTGCAAGGCAAAAGTACAGGGGGTGGGGAGGGACGGGGTCCGCACAAGTACCGGCAGGCAGGCGCACAGACTATGGATGCCTGCAGCGCCTGCAGTGAAGTGAAGCAAATCGATGTGGTCTGCGAGTCAAGTGGGGAGTGGTAAGCAAGAGACTGGGCAAACGAGGCCTTTTCAAGCCACAGACAACATTCAGTCATGGTCCTACTGTATCCATCACCTAAATCTCTCTCCAATTTGGGCATGTGCAGCCATTACCACTATGAGAGTCAAACCATCATCATCTCTTTGTTTACTGTAACAAAACTCACATGCACTGACTGCGTCCCATGTGCCAGGCACTATACACACATTGACCTGTTAGTTTAGGTCTTCCCAGAAGCAGAGGGGATTAGACATACGAGAGATTTACGGAGGGAAACGTGTGCAGGGGAAAATGGGAAGTGTGCCACAGGAAGCTGGGCAAGTGACAGCCCACAACGCCAGCCTGATCCCTGTGGGGAAGGGTGGAGAGCCAGGTTGGGGAGAAACAGCCTTAGACTGGCATGCAATTCTAAGAAAGTTTGGTGATGCTGTTGGGAGTTTGGAGGCAAAAGCCACCCATAAGAGGGGTCCGTGCCCCCCTGAAGTAGGACTACCCTAGTATCCCTGTACTCAAAGTAGGGCTAGGCACACATTAGAAGGGCTAAAACATGGCTTGAATCTCCTAAGGCAGGAGGAAATGGTGTGAACGCAGGGCTGGGTCACTCCCAAACAATCTTACCCGAGAAACAGCTAAGCTTGGGACTGATTGAGCACATTTCCCCACCTCCCTCTTCTCAGCCTCCAGGTGCTCCTAAGTATGTCCACAGTACTCATTCAAACACAGTACTACTCTTCATCCCACAGAAGACCCTGTCGAGTCTCCTGGTCAATCTTAACCCCCAGTTTGAAAAACATATTATAATCTACCTGAGGGACGGACTATGTTAATACGCTTAGAGCCCTCTACGTTCCTCTCCCTCATCCTACTCTATTCCACCCTCCCCAGGGTAACCAAGCCTGTATTTGTTACTATTTTTCAAGTTTTATAACAGAGCGTGAGTATTTCTGAACTTCACAGAAATTGTATCAATAATTTTTTCGAGTCATTTTTACTCAACATTGCTTCTGCTGTTGACCCACACAGGCCCACATAGTTCTAGTTCATGCAGTTTCTCTGTTCTACCAAATGGCACTTCAGTATAAAAGGGTATAAAAGTAATGGCCAGCAGTAAGTGTCGGAAATTAAATCTGAATGGTTAAGAATACATGCTCTTGGAATACATATAACCGAAGTGTTCTTAAAAATGTCTGGGCGCCTGGGCGGCTCAGTTGGTGGAGCGTCCGAGTCTGGACTGCGGCTCCGTCATGGCCGCAGGGGCGTGGGGCCGGGTCCTGCGTGGGGCTCCGCACTGGGCGTGGGGCCTGCTTGAGATCCTCTCTGCCCCTCTCCCCCACTTGTGCTCTTTCTAAAATAAAAATAAACAAAAAGGGACACGATGTAAGGGAAACTACTTAATCATATTATGAAAATCAGGGATTTGGCTTGGGGGAGAGGGACAAAGTAAAGGGTTTTCAAAGCTTTCAAGGGGACAGAGAGGAGGGACAGGAGGACCGGCAAGAGGGAAGAAGTGTTCCAAAGGCTTCAGCTTCCTCAGGTGCAAAGAAAGCAACTAGTGTGATAAACAGGGATTCTGCTTTTAATTTACAGCAACACTATATGCTTCTGATTGAGTTCGGAAACAGGAATATAACCATTAATGGAAGTGAATTTTCAGATTAAGAAAAATAAGGAAAACAAAAAATGAAGAAACAAGAATATCTAATAGTGATAGAAAAGCAATAAAACAAGAATATCAGCTATAACGTTAAACGGGAACTCAATAAATTATCCCACCGGAGACAGTATGCCCTTCAAAAGAACAAATACTGTGTGATTCCACTTATATGAGGTACCTAGTACAGGCATAATTTGGAGGAAAAGGGCTTCATCAAGACAGAGAACATGATGAAGTTTTAAAAATGGATAATGTTGATGTCTGCACAACACAGTGAATGTGCTCAGTGCCACTGCATTGGTTAAAGTGGTACATTTTATATAATGTACTGTACATAATGTAATTTACAAAAAGAAAAAGTACTAGGAAACACAAACCAAAACAAAGCAGGGTGGCAATACTAATATCATCCACAGAGGAATTTAAGGTTAAAATGACTAGAAAGATTATATAATGATAAAAAGTATTATTTATCAAGATATATACAATTTTTTGGACCAAAAGACAAAACAAATCACATCGATCTAAATGTAAAACAAAAACAGAGAGGTGCATAGGTGGCTCAGTTGATTGGGCATCTGAGTTTGGCTTCTATCATGACCTCACGGTTCATAGATTCGAGCCCAGCGACGGGCTCTGTGCTGACAGCTCAAGAGCCTGGAGCCTGCTCCAGAATCTGTGTCTCCTCTCTTTGCCCCCCCCCAACTCTTTCTCAATAATAAATTTTTTTTAACATTTTATTTATTTCTGAGAGAGAGAGACAGCGTAAGCAGGGGAGGGTCAGAGAGAGAGGGAGACACAGAATCTGGAGCAGCTCCAGGCTCTGAGCTGTCAGCACAGAGCCCGACAAGGGGCTCAAACCCACGAACCGTGAGATCATGACCTGAGCCGAAGTCGGACGCTTAACCAACTGAGCCACCCAGGCACCCCCAAGAAAGCTCAATTTCTTAATGGCTGATGTTGGGAACAGAAGAAAGGGTACCTATTTCATTTCTGCTGGAGCCTTAAATCCTCTAATTCCTTACCTGTCTGGAAATATGTTTATCTTGTCTTAAACTTGATTACAAACTTGACTAGGTAGAGAATACTACGTTTACAATAA